CCACCATCTTGGTTGGGTTAATTTGCATATAGTTGCTCTGATTGGCTGGTTGGCGTAGCTGAAGGTATAGTCAATTTGCATGTTTGTATTTTATTAGATTAGATTTCAGGTTGGATGTTGGATTTCCAAATACTGCTCCTCTTTATTGATTTATTTTTTAAACTATTTTTCTTCTACTTTTCATCTCTCTCTTTGCTCTTCTTTTAGGGAAATTTCTTTAACTTTATCCTCCAACACACACACACACACACACACACACACACACATTTTATTCTGAGGATATGTTTTTATTGATTTTTGAGAGAGAGGGAGAGAGAGAGAAACGTTGGTTGCCTTCCATACTTGTCCTGACCAGGGATCGAACCCTCAACTTAGGTATGTGCCCCAACAGGGAATCAAGCCTACAATTTTTTTTGGTGTACAGGACAATGCTTGAATCAGCTGAGCTACCTGGCCATGGCTACTCTCTAGCATTTTCATTACATTTTTTTCTGCATTTCTACTGTTATGTTTAATTCCCGAGTGTTCTTTGTTGTTATTGTTTTTGTAAATCCTCACCTGAGGATATTTTTACCATTGTTTTTTAGAGAGAGTGGAAGGAAGTGAGGGAGGGTGATATAGAGGAACATCCATGTGAAAGAGACACATTGATTGGTTGCCTCTGACATGCCCCAACTGGGGCTGGGGACGAACCTGCAACCCAGGTATTTGCCCTTGACAGGGAATTGAACCCTCAACCCTTGGGTCCATGGACTGATGCTCTAACCACTTAGCAACATGGGCCAGGGCCCACGGGTTGTTTTGCTGTCCCCCTTTTTTAATAGCTTCTTTTTCTAATTTACTGGCTCCAATAGCACTCACCAATCTATTGATATTAATGCAAATCTGGGGGAAGCTGTCTTCTCTCTGCAGTCTGAGATTTCTACTAGAGGCCCCGTGCACAAAATTTGTGAACTCAGGGGAGGGGAGGTCCCTCAGCCCGGATTGCGAGAGGTGCAGGCCAGGCCGAGGGACCCCACCAGTGCATGCTGGGGGCCGGGGAGGGACACGGGAGGTTGGCCAGCTGGGGAGGGGCCGTGGGAGGGTTCCAGGGCATGTCCAGCCTGTCTCTCTCAGTCCTGATTGGCAGCAAGCTAACCTACCAGTTGGAGCATCTGCCCCCTGGTGGTCAGTGCATGTCATAGCAAGGGGTTGAGCAACCTTAGCATATCATTAGCATATTATGCTTTGATTGGTGAGGGGCACTTAGCATATTCGGCTTTTATTATATCAGAGAAGCTGATTTTCCCTTTTGCTCATTTTGACCTCCCTCTTTTGTTTTTTTTTTGTTGTTGTTTGTTTTTTTTTAATATATTTTATTGAGTGTTTACAGAGAGGAAAGGAGAGAGATAGAGAGTCAGAAACATCGATGAGAGAGAAACATCGACGAGCTGCCTCCTGCACACTCCCCACTGGGGATGTGCCCGCACCCCAGGTACATGCCCTTGACCGGAATCGAACCTGGGCCCTTTCAGTCCGCAGGCCGACGCTCTATCCACTGAGCCAAACCGGTTTCGGCTGACCTCCCTCTTTTGTTTTTTTTTTGTTGTTGTTTGTTTTTTTTTAATATATTTTATTGAGTGTTTACAGAGAGGAAAGGAGAGAGATAGAGAGTCAGAAACATCGATGAGAGAGAAACATCGACGAGCTGCCTCCTGCACACTCCCCACTGGGGATGTGCCCGCACCCCAGGTACATGCCCTTGACCGGAATCGAACCTGGGCCCTTTCAGTCCGCAGGCCGACGCTCTATCCACTGAGCCAAACCGGTTTCGGCTGACCTCCCTCTTTTGTTTTTTTTTTGTTGTTGTTTGTTTTTTTTTAATATATTTTATTGAGTGTTTACAGAGAGGAAAGGAGAGAGATAGAGAGTCAGAAACATCGATGAGAGAGAAACATCGACGAGCTGCCTCCTGCACACTCCCCACTGGGGATGTGCCCGCACCCCAGGTACATGCCCTTGACCGGAATCGAACCTGGGCCCTTTCAGTCCGCAGGCCGACGCTCTATCCACTGAGCCAAACCGGTTTCGGCTGACCTCCCTCTTTTGTTTTTTTTTTGTTGTTGTTTGTTTTTTTTTAATATATTTTATTGAGTGTTTACAGAGAGGAAAGGAGAGAGATAGAGAGTCAGAAACATCGATGAGAGAGAAACATCGACGAGCTGCCTCCTGCACACTCCCCACTGGGGATGTGCCCGCACCCCAGGTACATGCCCTTGACCGGAATCGAACCTGGGCCCTTTCAGTCCGCAGGCCGACGCTCTATCCACTGAGCCAAACCGGTTTCGGCTGACCTCCCTCTTTTGTTTTTTTTTTGTTGTTGTTTGTTTTTTTTTAATATATTTTATTGAGTGTTTACAGAGAGGAAAGGAGAGAGATAGAGAGTCAGAAACATCGATGAGAGAGAAACATCGACGAGCTGCCTCCTGCACACTCCCCACTGGGGATGTGCCCGCACCCCAGGTACATGCCCTTGACCGGAATCGAACCTGGGCCCTTTCAGTCCGCAGGCCGACGCTCTATCCACTGAGCCAAACCGGTTTCGGCTGACCTCCCTCTTTTGTTTTTTTTTTGTTGTTGTTTGTTTTTTTTTAATATATTTTATTGAGTGTTTACAGAGAGGAAAGGAGAGAGATAGAGAGTCAGAAACATCGATGAGAGAGAAACATCGACGAGCTGCCTCCTGCACACTCCCCACTGGGGATGTGCCCGCACCCCAGGTACATGCCCTTGACCGGAATCGAACCTGGGCCCTTTCAGTCCGCAGGCCGACGCTCTATCCACTGAGCCAAACCGGTTTCGGCTGACCTCCCTCTTTTGTTTTTTTTTTGTTGTTGTTTGTTTTTTTTTAATATATTTTATTGAGTGTTTACAGAGAGGAAAGGAGAGAGATAGAGAGTCAGAAACATCGATGAGAGAGAAACATCGACGAGCTGCCTCCTGCACACTCCCCACTGGGGATGTGCCCGCACCCCAGGTACATGCCCTTGACCGGAATCGAACCTGGGCCCTTTCAGTCCGCAGGCCGACGCTCTATCCACTGAGCCAAACCGGTTTCGGCTGACCTCCCTCTTTTGTTTTTTTTTTGTTGTTGTTTGTTTTTTTTTAATATATTTTATTGAGTGTTTACAGAGAGGAAAGGAGAGAGATAGAGAGTCAGAAACATCGATGAGAGAGAAACATCGACCAGCTGCCTCCTGCACACTCCCCACTGGGGATGTGCCCGCACCCCAGGTACATGCCCTTGACCGGAATCGAACCTGGGACCTTTCAGTCCGCAGGCCGACGCTCTATCCACTGAGCCAAACCGGTTTCGGCTGACCTCCCTCTTTTGTAATAAGGATTTTCTCAGGGATCAGCCTTAGGTGTCCACCTGCCTGAGAGCAGCGAGGTTGAGAAGCGACTGGAAGCTGGGAGGGCTGGTGGGCTTTCTGTCTGTCTTGTAGCTGCTCTGCTGGGTTAGTGCCTAGAGCCCAGGACGTCAGTGCCTCCGGGTCTTTCCCCCTGAGCAGGTCGCTCCCTGCTGCGTACTCAGCCTCCTCCTGAGGGAAACGCATGGCAGGTGCCTGCAGCCGAGGAGAAAGTGGCTGGGAGGGTCTCTGCACTCAAAATGGATGTGGTTACTCAGTCTACCTCGATCCCTCCGTCCCTCCCAGCAGCCCCGTGTGACCGTGCAGGGTGGTCCCAGGACAGAGATCAGCCCCAGACAGTAAAGGCCTCCGTAGCCACCGCCACCGTCCAGTGCACACTGCCATCACCTCTGACCTGGAATCCTGACACAACCACTTACCTCTTGGCCCCTCCTGTCCCTCTGTCCCCACGAAGGAGTGAGGTAGCTCTTTCATGTCCCTCTTTACCTCTGAAGCCTCTCCTAAGTAGCCCCCCCCCTTGCACCTCTGTGGGGCCACACCTGCCCTCTCTGTGAAGGCACTGCCCCCAGTCCCCTCCTCCTGAGAGTCCTCCAGGCCAGGGCACCTGCCACACCACCGGAGACGGCCGGCTCTGCCTGGGCCTGAGGGGAGGTCTGCACCTCCGTGTGGGCACTGGTGCTCTGCGCGGGAGCCTGGCCCCTGTGCCGAGTGCCGAGCTGGACAGACCCAGGAGGTCGTTGCTACTTGCCCCCCTGGAGTTCTGCTCTGGGAGCTGACTGCAGGGGAAGGGCCTGCTGAGCCCGTCAAGGCTGCCACCAGGCCAGCGAGCTCCGGCTCCGTCAGCAGAGAACAGCGCTGCTCTTGGACCTGCAAGGCACACAGGAGGCTGCCTCCTGGGATTCAGGGTGCAGAGACGCCCCACACTACCCTGTAGGGCCTCAGTGTGGGCGGCCTTTCCCAGAGAAGGGACTGCTTGGCAGGCTGCCTTCCCTATAACTACTTGAAGCCTATTTCCATAATGGCCATAATGGGGCCTGACTAGGGAGCCAGGGCCTTCCTGCGGCCGGTTCCTGGCGAGGGAAGCTGAAAGTGATGGGGAGGCTCAGTCTGCAGCGTCCGCTGAGCACGTGCCAGGCACCGATCCTCATCTGCCCTTGGAGGAGGGGTTACAATCTCCATCGGGGAAATGGAAATGGCAGCTCTCTAAGTGCCTGTTCAAGGCCACACCAGGCAGTGTGAGCTCAAACTCAAGACTCCTAGGCCCCTGGGCCCTGCTGTGCCCTGGCACCAGGAGAAAGTGAGTTCTCCCTGCCTCCATGGGTCATTTTGCTGCATGACTTTTGAGGGCTGAGGCCTCTCTGTACTGGCCTTGGGGAGGCTCCCGAAGGTGGCGGGCCAGGTGCCCGGTGGGAGGTGGGGGGAGGGTTGGTTTCGGAGCTCTCACTAGGGGGCTGAGGGCTGCTCGGTTAATGGACCCCACAGTCATGGCAATGGGGGGGCACTCAGCACTGGCACTTCCTGTTGACCTTAGGAAGAGTGGTGGGTGCCCGGGCATGGCAGCAGCCCTCTCCTCTTGCTTGATTTTTCCAGTAACTGGTGCCCCTACCAGAAGTCCAGGCTGGTCACCTTCGTAGCTGCTTGCAAAACGGAGAAATTCCTCATTCACTCACAGCAGCCATGCCTGCGGGGAGCTTCGGACTGCCAGAGAGTCAAAGTCATGTGAGTGGGGATGAGGGAGGCCACTGGCCCAGTTCCCGCGCGGCTCACCTGGAGTTGCTGAGTTGGCTGTCTCCCTCCAGGTACCGCATAGCCCACAAGCCGGTGTACCAGGTCAAACAGAAGGTGCTGGCCTCCGTGGTCTGGAGGTGCTGCCCGGGCTTTGCTGGCTCTGACTGCCAGCACCATGGTAGGGCTCCGTGTGTCCCCTCCCACCTCAACCTCTGACCCCGGAGGTCATGCAGCTCCTCTGACCACTTGGGGTCAATATCTGATGCCTCCTCCCTGCAGATCCCGCTGCGACCCCTGAGCCCGCAGATCTGGGTGACGACCTCCAGGAGCACTGGGCCGGGCCGGCTGATGTGGAACCTGGTATGTTGCTTCCCTGGCAGGTGCAGGAGGGGCAGGCAGACAGGAAGAGCTGTGTGCCAGGCTCTTTCTCCTCTGATAAGGCAGTGCCATCTCAGGAAAACTCGGCCCCCAGAACCAGCAGGGCCCCTCTGAGGCTCTGCACCACCCTACTCCATACCTAGGAGGCCAGGCCTGCCGGCTATGCACATCACCCCTGTCCTTGACACCCTTTCTAGGAAGGACAGCTTCGCCTGGCACCTCCCTTGCCCCTGCACTGCACAGGTCCCCATGGCCTGGAAGAAACCTCCCCACACCCCGCCCCTCAGTCAGGGACAAGAAGTCATGCTGTCCCTGTTCTCGAGTCAGCGTAGGAGAACCATCAAGAGACCCCATGGTTGGGCCTTTCAAGGCTGGACCAAGGTTGGGGTGGCAAATGTGTTTCATCATGTGGTGAACGCCTATCTATTGATAAGGGCTTCTAGCATAGTGTCGAGAGGCCATGCCCACATGGCCGAGGAGGAAAATGTATCAAGACTGATTAGGCATGTCTGCCGTGGGTGTGGATGGCAGGGTGAAGGCTCACTTACCATGTGTTTGCTCTTCTGGGTCTAAAGCAGGGGTCCTCAAACTTTTTAAACAGGGGGCCAGTTCACTGTCCCTCAGACCGTTGGAGGGCCGGACTATAGTTTAAAAAAAACTATGAACAAATTCCTATGCACACTGCACATATCTTATTTTAAAGGAAAAATACAAAACGGGAACAAATACAATATTTGTATTTGCATGTGGCCTGCGGGCCGTAGTTTGAGGACCCCTGGACTAAAGGCTTCTAAGCGGCTGCTCAGAGGCCATCAGCATACTCCTCTCTGTTCTCAACCCCGAAGTCTCGGTGCCCTATGGTCTGCCCGGACAGTTAGCCCTCAGTATGTCTTTCTCACGTGCCCTCCAACCACCAGCTGCAGAGACCAGCAACATCAGGGTGCGGCAGGAACGCCTGCTGAGAGGTCTTCAGAATGACATCCACCACCCGGCCGACAGCCTCCCAGGCCCGGGGACGGCCCCGGCAAGCAACCTCACAGCCAACCTCACAGCCGCAGTGACTGAGGCACATGAGGAGGCGCTTGGTAAGAGGCAGGCTCCAGGCTGAGGAGGACCTGATTACAACCCAGGGGATGCGTGGGCGGGGAGCAGAGGACCTCCCTCCAGCCCCTGCCTGGGGAGGGGCCTGCTCAACAGGTTGGTGTGAACATGTGCATCCGTTGCAGAGTTTCCTGGCAAGTCCTTGGAGCAGGTGCTGCCTTTCAGCCCCCTTTGGAGCGGCTTTAACCAGAGCCTGCACAGCCTCTTGGAGGCCGTCAGAAACCTCTCTCTTGATGTGGAGGCCAACCGACAGGCCATCGGCATGGTCCGGGACAGCGCCGTGCCCAGGGCTGACTTCCAGGAGCTTGGAGCCAAGTTCGAGACCAAGGTCCAGGAGAACAGCCAGAGAGTGGGCCAGCTGCAGCAGGACGTGGAGGACCGCCTGCACGCCCAGCAGCTCTCCCTGCAGCATTCGCTTTCCGAGGTCCAGGCGGCCGTGGACACCAAGTTGAAGAGGCTCCTTAAGGCCCAGGAGCACCTGTCCAATAGCAGCCTGGCGGCGGCCGCGGCAAGAGCAGGAGCCCGGCCCGAGCCGGAGAGCCTGCAGGCCCGGCTGAGCCAGCTGCAGAGGAACGTCTCAGCGCTGCACCTGGACACCAGCCACAGGGAAGAGGCGCTGCAGGGCACCCTGGCGGACATGCAGGCGACCCTCGACCGGCACGTGGAAGAGATCAAGGAGTTGTATTCCGAATCGGACGAGACCTTTGATCAGATCAGCGCGGTGGAGCAGCAGGTGGAGAAGCTGCAGGGAACCCAGCAGGAGCTGCGGGAGCTGCGCGTGGCCCTGATGGAGAAGTCGCTCATCGTGGAGGAGAACAAGGTGGACACGGACCGGCAGCTCCTGGAGCTCAACCTCACCCTCCAGCACCTGCAGGGCGGCCTCGCCGACCTCATCAAGTACGTCACCGACTGCAACTGCCAGAAGCCCCCCGGGGGCCCGGACGGTACCCAGGAGGGCCCGGGGAACACCATGCGCGCCCCCGAGGGCGCCCACGGAAGCCTGGACCTGCGGCGCCCGGGGGACGGCTCCTCTCTGCTGGCCCTGGAGCAAGCCCT